CCGTCATCACTTAGTTGGTTTTTTTATGAAAAAACACAATGTCGTCCGTGGGCCACATTGTTTGTGTGACCAAAACGCCCCCCACCCCCCCCCCCCCCCCCCCCCCCCCCCAACCTCCGGAACCCTGATAATTCTCAGCAGACACGGAGCAGCTTTAAATACCATTGGTACATCAGTAAGTTCACACATCCTATGTGACTTACACCTCGACAATTTGGTCATCATCGTCTTCGTTACCGATTTCCTTAACGCGATCCTCTGTACCTGGTTCTGCTTCATCCCGCATCAGAACCTGAACTAATCGTTCGCAGGCATCTCTAACGCCTTCGTCATTAACACGCAGGTGCGTTTCTCGAATGATCGGATACACCTTAGCATTACGCATGTGGTCTCTGCCTTCCCTAGTGCTCGATAGAAGCAATAGTGTCTCGACATGCGTTTGGATGATGTTCGGATCGCTATCACGCTGCTTATCAGGGGGTAGAAGCTGAAGGTCAGGAAGCATCGACATCATTTCCTCCTCGTCGTACTCCTCGTTGCCCATTATAGGCAACAGGACATATGGCAAAATATCGATATCGTCCTCCGATAGGAATAGCGGGTGTGAAGGCACGTCAAAAGCGACATTTTTCAGGGTGGAAGCGACTCCCTTCCGCCTGACGTTCGACTTATACTCGGTGAAAACCTTCAGTTTCGTGATGGGTATTACTCCATCGTAATCTTGCTTCTGCACAAAATACTGCCGTATGTCGGCATGTTTCGTTAGGTCAGCGAAGAGGTAAGCTAGATGATCGAAGTCTGCATTCTTGTTGTACGACCCGTCCGCGCCTTTGACGAATAAATCAACAAGCTGGTTCAAAATAAGCTCATTTGATCCGAGCTCAGCTGGCGATGGTTGTTTCTTAGTTAATACTCTCTTTATAGAGTCCCATTTTGCAAGATTTGCTAGAAGCATAGAAAGAAGATTTGCGTTAGGTTCGGTTGCAATCTAATAGACACGTCAGCTCGGTGTTCGGAGAATCGATTGGGACCTTGATCTTGATTTTAGTCTCAAGTTGCGTGCTTCTATACTAACAATAATCTGTCGAAGGACTTCATCCAAGAATTTTTCGTCTGTGCCTAAGCTTTCGAGAATTTCTCGATCGGCCGCAAGATTGATGAGAATGGTTATAACATGCTCGGCAATTTTCTAATACGTGTTTAGCTAAATCTGCTATGTGCCTCCAAATCTCGACAAAAGGAGGTTTACCGGATGATCTTTTACTAAAAGCTTCAGATTCTTTACGGGCTGGTGATTATCCGCCTTGAAGATACCGGGCTGTGATGTCGAATAGGGGACTAGGTGCTCTATCGCAAGACCGCGAATCTCAGGTCTAGGATTGGCGATGAAGCCAACCAACTAATACATAATTAGCAAGAAAGAATAATAAAGCAGCGCCATTCTTTCATAAGCGTACCTCCTCTAATTCCGTAGGCATTTTAGTAATATTCTGAGATGTATAGTGTATAGAAAGTTTAGATAAGTATATTATATAGCTCTCAAGTCCAAGCGTGGGTTTGTTATGAGTTGAAAAGAAAAAAAAAAAGTTCGTGTCAACTAAGAATTTTGCGACAGAATAATGTTGGAGGGGTTGCGCAGCTCAGGTATAGAGGGGCTCAGAAAAAATGACGTGGGTGTTCTTGGTTCAATGCACATATCCAGAGTTTCGAATGCAGTAAAGCAATATAAACATAATAAAGATAAAATAAAATGCTCAAAATTCACTTTGAAGTTTTCCTCGAACTTCCAATTTTGAAGATAGTCGAATAGGTACTTAGGGACTATTAGAAACTCGTCGAATCATTCCGAGGCCTCAACAATGGCTCGGCTCGGCTCTAGGAGGGTACCTCGGTGGATATTTAACAAATATCAAAAAAAGTCTTTGTGGCTCAGCTGGTTAGAGCGTTGGTCTCATACTCTAGTATGACTCGATTCTCAAAGAATTGGGATATCCAAAGGTCGTGAGTTCGAACCTCACCAAGGACAATATTTTTGGTCTCTAATCATCAACCTTAGTCCTTCATATGGACTGAAGTGTGGGTTAATGTGATGTTGTACTAGGAAAGGTTTTCTAATAGTGGGCGAAGCTTACCATAACTCAGTAATACCTATTGCTTATATAACTACCACAATACCCATGTATTAGCCAAACCTTTTTTTTTTTTTTTTTTTTTTTTTTCGTCCCATTGCAAAATTTTGGATGAAGGTGCTTGGCCGTTAAAAGGTACCTAGGTACAATGCCATAGGTACCTAGCTGACCTCAGCTCGAGCCTCAAGGGTCCAAATCCGCTAAACGGAATTGGTTCCGCCCACCCCTCAAAATTTTTGTATTTCCAAAAGAAATTCCATTCACACAATTAATTTGCGCCCCACGTCGTGATACTTGCAAAAACAGCATCCCGAGACCGACTAGTTTTAAAAGATAAAAACCATGCCAAAGGCGACCACACCAACTTCCGTTCGCCAAGGGCGACGGCACAACCCCTTAGAAGATGACCTTGTCGCTACGGGTCCCTTACGCGCAAAGGCTCCCAAGAGGAAATCCAAAAGCGGCGACGGCGACGACAACGAGCAGGAACACTATATCGATTCTAAGGCGTCCAGGAAAATTCTGAAGATCGGCAGAGAATTAGCTGAAGAGATTGATGTCGCGCCTCCGCGACCGCCGAAGGAGAATAATGCCTTCGGGTTTGACTCTCGGTTTGACGATGAGGACGGAGATAACGAGCCATTCGAGGACGAAGAGGTCTGGGGCGATGAGGATGAGATAGTAGAGGAGATTGAGATTGAGCCGGAAGACTTAGACACGTTTAACAAATTCTTACCGACGGATGAAGATCCTTTATTAACAGAGGGCTGGGGAGGTCAAGCTTCTGCGCAGCAGCAGGGCGGCGGGACTAACCTCGCGGATCTGATTCTCGCGAGGATCGCGGAACATGAAGCTGGGCAAGACAGAGGACAGGAGTTGGGACCTGTGGATGCCGATTTTGAGGTCCCACCGAAGGTCGTAGAGGTGTATTCTAAGTATGTTGACCGGATTATGTGGCAAGTCCCGTCGGGTCTCACCTAGTACTAACATTCTACAGGATCGGTCTGATATTATCGCGGTACAAGTCCGGCCAGCTCCCTAAACCATTCAAGATTCTGCCGACGGTCCCCCACTGGGAGGACATTATCGAATACACGAAGCCCGACCAATGGACCCCGAATGCGTGCTACCAAGCCACGAGGATATTCATCTCTAGCAAGCCGATCGTGGTCCGAAGGTTCATGGAGATGATCCTCCTCGAGCGCGTACGGGACGACATCCACGAGACGAAGAAGCTCAACGTGCATCTGTTCAACGCGCTGAAGAAGGCCCTCTACAAGCCCGCCGCGTGGTTCAAGGGCTTCCTCTTCCCCCTCGTCGAGAGCGGCACATGCACCCTGCGAGAAGCAACCATCATATCCGCCGTGCTAGCCAGGGTTTCCATACCCGTCCTGCACTCCGGCGCCGCTATCAAGGGCCTGTGCGATATCGCGGCGCGGGAAGCGTCCGCTGGCACGGAGGGCGGAGGGGCCACGAACGTGTTCATCAAGACCCTCCTGGAGAAGAAATACGCGCTTCCCTACCAAGTCATCGACTCGCTCGTATTCCACTTCCTGCGCTTCCGCAGCGTGGACCCCGCGTCGATCAGGGAAGGCGCGCCGATGGACTTCGGCAGCGAGCGCGCCGCCATGCAGGTCAAGCTCCCGGTGATCTGGCACCAATGCCTGCTCGCCTTCGCGCAGCGGTACCGCAACGAGATCACGGAGGACCAGCGAGAGGCTCTCCTCGACCTCTTGCTGACCCACGGGCACCACAAGATCGGGCCAGAGATCCGGAGGGAGCTGCTAGCCGGACGTGGCCGAGGAGTCGCCATCGAGCAGCCTGGTCCGGCATTCGATGGCGATGACACGATGGTCGTCGATGGGTAAAGGGGAAAAAATGAAAATTAGGATGATCTTTAAGAGGGAGGCTAGTTAGTTAAATCGTGCTAGACGTGATACCAACGAAGAAGAAGATACGGATAGGGCATTTTTTGGTGTTACGGGCGTTTTTCTGCTGGGCTCCGTATGGCCTGTATAGGAATTCATTTACGATTTCAAGTCTTCACTGCTGGCTCACTTTGGTTTTGCCTCGTATTTGCTATGTACATATGTGTCGTATTAATCCATCCAAAGGATCTGATGCGCTGAAACTTAAAAGGTGCTTAAGGTATGTGATTGGTGGTACCTATACCTGATCTGTCATAGCGATAGGAAGGCTAGATATTGGTATTAAGTGGTAATTCACAACAGTAACGAAGTAACCACCCTGCTCTTTGTAACTTAGACGCACCACATCACTTATTGCAGTCGGTCCGATTTTTATTTTATTTTATTTTTTTTTGTCGTGAACATTTCTACACTTTTTATTCTATCTTATGAAATTTTACTACGTAACGCGCACTACTGGCCTAATAATATAGGCCTGTAATTGCGGAACAAAAGCCAAGCCAAACGTAGTTTAGAGATTCAACTTGAGCTTTCCCATGTTTCTATAATAGGGGCCTCCAAAAGAGCACGATTATTAATATCATAAATGCCTTGTCTTGCCATCCTGTGCTGAGCTCGAGCCTGAGATCGCCTTCAAATAATCCGGCGAACATATTTTCGTCTCATTCTTAAACAACCAGTCTAAAACTTCTTTAAGCCGATATATATTCGGATTTTGAGCGGCGAGGAGATCAGTAACCTAAACCATTTACGCACCGGGAAGCCAGCTGCGTATATATAAGTGTAGAGCCACACAAACGCCTTGATTTGATAGTTGTACTTTTCAGAATTTCGTGGGTATCGTAAAACCTTTCGAGGAAAAAGATCACGGCTAGAAGTAGTAATACATATATATATCCCTTGCGCAGACAAACGACACTACTACTCCTACTCGTCGTCCTTGCTCTTCCGCTTCCTCTTCTTCCTCTCGGCGGACCCGTTCTCCTCGGGCGCGACGAAGTCCTGCTCGCGCTGGCGCTTCTTCTCCTCCTGCTTGGCCTTCTGCTTCTCGAGGCGCTCCTCGTGGGCGATGCGCTTCTTGGCCTCCTTGGCGAGGTGGTACTCGCCGGCCTCGATCTGGAGGTCGACCTTGCTCTTCTCCTGGGGCGGGGGGAAGGGCGTGTACACCTTCTTGCTCTTGTCCGTGACCTTGAAGGGCACCATGCGCTTGCTCAGGCTGCGCTTCTTGTAGTTGGGCAGGAACCGCTCCCAGTTCTCGTGCGCCAGCTCCGGGTCCTTCGCCAGCTCCCGCTTGATCATCAGCTCCTTGATCTGGTAGATCGGGTGGATGTTCGCCATGCAATCTTCCACCACCCGCCGCACCTCCTTTAGCCCCTTGTACGGCCCCAGCGCGCTCACCGTGTTGCCCTGCACGAGGATGTACGTCTGCGTCAGGAGCTCCAGCGCCTTTAAGGTTTGGCCGTTTGGTCCGAGGATTCTCTGCCGTCGCTTCACGAATTTGTCCTTGTTGCGTACTAAGTTTCTTATCTTGATTATGTCGCAGGCCATATCGTCTTGGAGAATTTTTAGTGCTTGTGGCGCAGGTACGCTACGTGCTAGTAGTTTGATGAGGTCGCGAGCCTTGAGGATGGCGGCGGGATCGTATGTTTTTCTTGTCGTCTTGACTGTCATGCATCCTGTCCTCGTGTGGTCAGCGCCAATCTATTCAGTGAGAAAAACAAATAAACAAAAAAAAAAAGTAATGACTTACCTTCGACAAGATCTAGTGTGCACGCGATGCCGTGCTGTTGGAGCGCCTGCGTTATGCCAGGCCATGCTTCCTTGAGGTAAACTTCGCGATATCGAGGGAATAAACTGATGCTAGGTTAGAATCTGGCAAATGTGAACTGTAGTTCAATAGGAGATACTTACACTGCAAAGGAGGACTCCTCCGCAAATGTTCCACCAGCGTTATCCGACGGCTTAAAAGGTTCGACCTTCCATTTATCTAATAACCCTGTTAGATACTAAAGAGAAAACTTCCACTTTATTGGCACACACCTATATCATCAGTATCCCATGGCTTATCCTTTTTATGTGTAGACGGCATCGTGACGGTGGTGATGTCGTATAGGACTGACTTGTGTTTGCGATGCAAATGAAGATTAATGATTGGCGATGATGAACGATTGGGACTTTTTTTTTTTCCTTAGATATCGGCAGCCGGAGGTTTTTTTATGGGGACGACTGCTCGCCCCTCCAGTGGTTGAGCTGAAGTGGATACCCGTACCATCTCAGGTACCTAATCTAGTACAGCGTCGCTCTGAAGAAATCGACCTTATCGATCATTGTAGTGAATAGTGAAGAGCGTGCTTAATAAGGTAATGGTTTGTATAAAATAGTCTTTGGCTTCCAATTCTTATAATTCCTTGGTTAATTAATTTTTCTTTTCTTTGGGTAGGAATATGAACCCTAGCACTTAGCTGTGTGCTGCTACTAGATGCACATGTAGAATACTGGTGAGCACAGGTAGATGATAACAGGTTGATATGATATTTCTATATTCGTGGTCAAATATGTTATATCTCATATCTAAGCGGTTATTCTTCCATTGCTACCAATGATATTCCCATCTTCACGGAAACATACCTTGTTGATTTAGGCATGTAGTATACTATTTTGCATCTCTAGCCCGTAATACTCAGCATTCTTAAGGCTTGTCTCTTGAGTTAGGACCATCAGTACTGTAGCAGCAATCTGCGGAACGACTCCTCGTCTAGGCTTTGAAGCATTCTCTAGATGAGGTTTACACTTACATAATAATTCAATTCAAGCACTATTCTATCCTAGCACATTCATATACGAGATGAAGGCAGTAGGGTGTGTCTGAATCAATGCAGCAAGAGAATATAGAATAGCCCATAGCAAAGACGAGCAAAGACGAGCTAGTGAGATACTGGGAGAAAACCCAAGTTACCAATCGGTGAAAT